AAAATACCACTTAAGGTGCCTTTTGTTCTTTAACCTTTTCATCTTCTACTTTAATAATGTCATAAACTGCATCCAAATATTGGTTTCTTGCACTTCCTGTCCTATTTTTCTATCATGACGCTGACTTTTACTTATCATCTGAATGGGTGCTATCAGTAGATGGTTTTTAGTCTGTGGCAAACCGTTGGAGGTATGCTGTTTTGGGCTGAATTGTGGCACAGCCTTCCAAATTTAAGCCCTGAATAGGCTGAGCAGGACACCCATGTAGATTAACAGTGGTCAGTGGGATCTAAAAGGATCTTGCTGAAAGCACTGGATTGAAAATCAGACTTTCAATTGGGCAGGGCAAGCTTGGAATCATTAGCTTTGTATGGGGAGGAAATGAGAGCAATAGAGACAGGCATGTGCTTTGAAGTCTACTAGCAGTTTCAGTAGTATTTCATCTTAATTTATATTACTGCTATTAAAATTGTTTTCAGCTGTATATTTTTAATTGCTTAAACAAATGATAATAATTTACTGCCGAGGCTTATATATCTGATTGCTTGCCAACATACTATCTGGCTCAGTGTACTAATTACAATAATACTAGAACATTGCTTTAAAAAGCATGGTTTAACTGCACTGGCAGAAGAATAAAGGAGAATAACCACTATAATAACAGAATGATTTACTGGAAAACAATCAACAACTTATTCCTGTATTGTTGCAAGCCCAGTACAGGTAGCCCCCGACTGATGACCACAATTGAGCCCAAAATGTATGTTACTAAGTGAGAAATTTGTTAAGTGAGTTTTGCCCCATTTTACGACTTTTCTTGACACATTTGTTAAGTGAAACACTGCAGTTGTTAAGTTACTAATATGGTTCTTAAGTGAATCTGGCTTCCCCATTGACTTTGCTTGTCAGAAGGTCACAAAAGGTGATCACATGATCACCCAGAACACTGCAACCCTCATAAATATGAACCAGTTATCAAGCATCTGAATATAAATCACATGACCATGGGGACGCTACAATGGTCATAAGTACGAAAAACATTTTTCAGTGCTGTTGTAACTTTGAGCAGTCACTAAATGAAATGTTGTAAGTTGAAGACTACCTGTAGTACAATCTTCTGTTTTGGTTATTAAGTCCACTTAGGTCCAATTCTAAACTAGATCTTAGTCTTTGAATTAATTCTGGCAGAGAAACAAACTTTGGTAGAATTTTATTCAATTGTAAACATGATTAACAATTACTCCAAGAACTTGACTTTATAAAATGAAACTATGGACCAATTTCATGAACAGCCTTCCAAATCTCCATGTGAAAACCAAGATTCAAGTTTACTACTATGAGCAAGTAACAATCGAGTTTAGGTGAATTAATGTTGTCTTGGAACATTGAAATCCTTCTAATAAAAGCATTCACTTTAAAGCACTGCTAGCTACATTAGCTGATACAATCTTAGGAAGTCTGGAAACAAACCATTTATCAAATTTCTAAGTAATAGGGCTTAAAAATTTCTTCATACTCTTTTAAGTGCAGCATAGTACATATCCAGTTTGTTCAAATTCATATCAAGGCCCTCTTAGAAAAATTTATTAAAAGTGAATGGGAAATAACGATAAACTAAGAATCCTAAAAACATAAGAGTTTCAGATTTCGAAGGCTAAATTAGGCAACTTTAAGATTCAAAGTCTTTTAAATATTCTTGAGACTAAAGATAGGAAAAACTATGCATCTACCATTAAGAATAAACAGTATAAAAATAATAAATAAATCCAGCAATCAAGTGGATATCATGTATCTTTGTCTTACTTCCTGCTCAGGCTTGAACTATTGTCTCATATTTCATATTTTATTTCTATCTTTTCCCACTTTTAAGGTATTCAGCAGCCAACTTTGAATTCCAGTTCAAAAATTCCATAATTCAAGCACCTTTTGTATTTTAACAAATGTATAATGAACTTTCTTTTTCACATTGATGCATACGTACTAATTCATATTTTGGTAGTGCTTAAAAATAAATACTGCATTCACAAAACCTAATTAAATTTAGTGTTAAGAGTGATTTTACTGTAAAACTATCACTTTTCTGATTCTCACCACCACTTGTTCTTTAAATACTGATTTCAACTTCCTCTCAGTTCTGTGCTACTGAAATGAGTACCGTTACTGTGTGCAAAGCAACACTGTGAGAACCATCCAAGACTTTAGAAACAAAAGGGAAAAAGAGATGATTTTCTCTCATTTCTGATAATCTCAAAATCCAAAGCATATGTGATGATCTCAGCTGATGGTGAGTGACTTTTCCTCCATTAAGAAAAACGTGGGTATAAGGGTTCATTTCATTCTGTCCACTGGCCCATGAGGCACAGTTTTAGGTTTCTCTCAGTCTCTGTCTGTCTCTCTCTCTCTCTTTTTCTCTCCCTCCCTCCCTCCCTTTTTTATCTGCTTCTTTCACATTGCAGAAAAAAAAACCTATGAAATGTGTAAAGTGGAAGGAGCCCAATGGGGATTAGGCATGCTCAAGAGCTATAGGTTGCAGCATGTTTCTTGTTCGTGGCTCTACAATTCATAAGAAGGGAAATATAATATTGTGTATTGTAAAAGAAAAACTGCTATTGGGCCATTTGGAATATAGCACACTGGGCCTTTTCAAAAAATTCCCATGCTTCTAAATCTTTAAGAACTTTAACCAATACTTAATTATAAATGACTGATAAGACGAGTACGTCTTCTTCACATATTAATCTGAGAAGGAAGCATTAGGAGATGTATCTGGAATTAGAACATGGAAGATAGATAGATAGACAGACAGACAGACAGACAGACAGACAGATTCATGCCCTTTCAATGTCCCGTCCATGATTTGGGAGGATGGATGCAGTTTTTAAAATGAAAGGATACAGTTACCACAGATGAAGAGGATGATGAAGTAAATACAGACTACCATTCCTGATGAAGATGGGCCTCCATATGCCATAATGCCATCATACATAACAGCATTCCAGTCTTCTCCTGTTAGAATCTAAAAAATGAATTCCTTATTACTGAAATAGTACATATTGTTAAAAAAACTTTAATAGTTCCTTTGACATCAGAGCAAAATAATCAGTAAAATCCTTACATAATTCCATTTTAATTATTTTATAAGACTGATGACACTCTTTATTTCTGAATGCATTATTTCATTCTTCTGTAAACTAAGGCATACTTTTAAAAGTTTGAATACCATTAAATACCCTGGAATACTCCAAGAAAAATAACTTTGTTAATGGAGATAAATATTTCAAATGGTTTATCTCAGATTAATATTGATAGCAGCAGATGAACATCCCACTGAGTTTATGAGGAAGAATAAATGTTAAACTGGAATTAGAGACTGTAAGTCTACGATTGCTAAATATATATATTGCTATATATTGCTATACATTACATTTCTCATGTGAGAATTTCAATTTTCCACCATTGATCTTTAATTTTGACTTCTTATTCTTTGTGGACTTTAAGTGATTATCTCAAAAACCACAATGAAATATTACAAAATTCTTAGACCCAGGTGATATCCTGACTTTTTGCAAAACATTGCAAAACATATCATGTGTGATGTTGGAAGGAAAAAATTGTTTTCAAGTCATTGTTTTCATAAGATGTTGACACAATGTTCTAGCAATATTTGAAACACCTTAAATGATTATTATTTATAAAATCAGATATCCTAGAAATGGAGTTTGAATTTACTAAATTTTACTTAACTATATTTTTTTGCCATAGCTTCATGTATTATGAAAAAAATATTTTTTTAAAAAGTATGGACATTTGGAGCTATTTCTATGACATTGTATTTCCTATCATGATGTATTTCAACAGTTATATATATATATATATTGACTTGCTTGTACAAATGGGACACATCAACCTAGCATTTCTAACATTTATTTAATACAGTCTTTTACAAGTCTGCTGCCATTCAGACATGGAGAGTTTCAATTCATATAATTCCTAATCTACATTTTGAAATAGCAAAGTAGGTAATTATAGAAATTGATCCAAAATTAATCCAACCTAAAATAGACAACCAACGTAATAACAAAACTTAATCCTTTAAAACTCCCTGCATAAATTATCTCAGCAGTTTTTACAGGAAGTCTGGAAGTTGGGTTTATTTGCTAATAATTGTTCCATAACACTAAAGCTATTAAGCCAGGATATTTCACAGGACCTGGCCATAGCCAGAACCCCAGGAAACATTCCCAGATTCCCTTTCCTTGTTTTTTTTAAAAAGTTATTTGCGAGATTTTGAAATTCTGAAATATTTTGTCATTGTCTTTGTGTAAAATCACTCAAGATCACTCAAACCCAACCTGGGCTAAGAGACATAGTGTGATGGATTAAGTGAACGAGGACTAGGAAGACCTCCGTACAACTACATTCTCTACCATGAAGCTCACAAGATACTTTTGGGTCAGTCCCAGTCTCAGTGTACCCTGCCCATAGAGTTACTGTGATAAAAATGATGGAGGGAATACTATGTGTGTTGCATGGAAGAAAGTAGGCTTTGAATAGCTTTGGCTGGTATGCCAATTGTGATATAACCTTGACCAGGATGTTTTGGCAACATTACACCCTCATCACAATCTGATTAGATTAATGTAATGTGCTCTGCACGGATCTGCTTTTGGAGATGACCTGGAAACTGCAAACTAATACACAATGCTGAAGCAGGATTGCTAAGGAGGCTATCTTGCCTGTATAGAATATTCTGTATAGAATAGTGTTTTGAAGTTAATGCACTGGTTACCCTTAGGCTTCTGTGATCAATTCAAATGTTGGTCATTACTTTAAGGCTTTTCATCGTGCAGTACTGGGTTGCAAAAGTCAAGCTGAATCATGAATTGTGGCTGATTTTAATTTGCAAGTCAGCTAATTAAATTAAAGTTTGGAGTTATCTTGCTCCAATGACAAGACTAAAAATTATATATCTGGCTAAATACAATGATGAAGTTTCTAATCGTTTCGTTGTGTAAAGCTGAAATGTAAGAGTCTCAGTTATCATTACATCTCAAACCAATTGCCCTTGGCAAGAAAGCTATTTTTTAAATTGGATTAAAATAATGGCATATTAAATTTGGTTATGTGCTACTAAATTGTTTTCAATTCATCGCAACCATCTAGATACATTTTCCATTCCTAATTTGTTCTTTCAGGTCTCTCAACTGTGCACCCATCACCACTATAACTGAGTCCATTAAGTAAAATTGTGAATGTGCTCATTAAACTGAGCATATTAGGAACCTTTATACAATATTTCTATTGTAGTAAGTAGCCTTCAAAAAGAGCTCACGATCCTGAATTTGAAAGCACTGGTCCTTCAAGATTATTTAGGAAAATTAATACAATATTGTTTTCAAATGTTCACTTTAGATTCAGTGTGATAATTTTTACTTGTTTTCTCCAATAATTCATAGCATTTTTTCTCTTATGGTTTGTTTTGTCCGTGGAAGCTGAAGTAATAAGCATGGGGGTTTCCACTAATTTTATCTAAGTGGTGACAACCCTTTGAAGTAGGTTAGGCTGAGAATTGCTGAAGTCATCTAACAAACTTTAGGATCAAATAGTGTCTGAAACTCCTCAAACCAGGTCCAATTTCTTATCTATAATACTAAATAGGTTGCCAATGAAGATATTAATGTACATATATGAATTTAGGGGAGAAAACAAGAAGGGAGTGGACTTTGCTTGTGGAACATTGTAGGCAAAAATGGACAGCCCTAGATTTTACTCAAGGCAAAGAAATTAAGTAACCTTGTTTCATATGAAAAAAAAAATGAATCTTTAAGCTCAAGCTCTGGATCATAATAAATAGGGGTAACTTACCAAGATACAGATTTAAAATGTGCACAATATAAACAGTTGTAAAAAAAAACAATTAACCATAATGGAAGAATTTTGCAATTAATAACTGTTTTGTTAGCTGTATTTGGATGAACAAAGACAACTTAATATTAATGATGTTAACATAAAAGCTATGCTGCATAGAGAGATTGAATACGTGATATGAACAAATGGTACAAAATGATGCAAAAATTACCAAAGATTGACTTTTAATGAGCAGAATGCTATTTAACATAAACAGAAGGAACTATCGTTGTGATAAGTGACTTTTATTTTTATTTTAGGAGACAGGATTACTTAGACAGTGTTGTTGTTCACAGATTTTTAAAAAAATGTTTTATAGTGGGTGAATAAAGTTACCTGGAATACAGTTAAAAGGGCTTGTGGGAAATTATCGAAGGTGCTCCGTTTTGTTTGAGTTTCATCAAAATTAAATTTGCCTCCAAACAGCTGCATTCCAAGCAATGAGAAGATTATGATGAAGAGGAAAAGCAGAAGCAACAGTGAAGCAATGGACTTCATTGAGTTTAACAAGGATGCTACCAAGTTGCTCAGGGATGTCCAGTGCCTACAAATTAAAATGTGTGTGTTAACAGAAAAAAAAACCGTAAAAGAACAGTGCATGATGAAATATTACAAAAGAGCAGCGGGTCATACAAGGGTCAGTAAAACTCAGCATCAAGTAAGAACAAGTTTCTCTTACCTGGTGACTTTAAAAATACGGAGGAGACGAACACAGCGGAACACTGAAATTCCGAGAGGGGACATAATTTCCAGCTCTACCAGGATGGTTTCAACAATGCCGCCACAGACCACAAAGCAGTCAAAACGATTAAAAAGGGACACAAAGTAAGACTGCAGCCCAAGACTGTACATTTTTACTAACATTTCGCAGGTGAATAAAGCCAGAAGGACTTTGTTTGCAATATCTGGGGGAAAAATATTCGAAAAATTAAACCGATTGATGAGTTTCAGTTTCATGTCTTAAATCTAATCTGAGCAATGAAATTGTTTCTATTTCTCCCCCTTTAGGCAAAAATCCCAAATTAAGATGATGTAGCCTAACAACCAACATGTGAAATTATAACAGAGGTGTCCAGGCCATTATATTGTCAAGTTACATTTTCTCTTCTTACAATGTATTGAATATTAAGTTTCAATATGGACATGATTTTAAAAATCAGAAAATTAGACATCAATATGTACAATTCCTAAAGTTAAAGTCTACTTGGACAACAACCATCTAAATAGAGTCAAAGGACAGAACTGAAGAGGATGGTTCATAAAGAAGAGCTCTGCAAGTTAACTGGAATTGCTCCTTATAAACCAGAATTTGGCTCGCAAATATAAGAAAGTATTTCCCCTGCTACAGACTCTGATTCACTATAAATACTGTACTAGATCAAAGAAATCATTTTGACACTCATAATAAATGTCAATCATTAGACTACTTGACTAGACTAGACGACTAGGCCAGCAGTCACCAAACTACATCTTTTGGCCCAAATCTGCCAAACTGCCTGTTTTTGTGCAAATTAAGAACGGGAAGAGTAGGAGATCGCCATTCTCTGCCAGACCCTCCTAGTCAAAAGAAATGGCTGTGGCAGAGACATCCTGGGTGGCAGCAGCGGCCTATCAATAGTTGTCTCCTTGCTGGCACACCAACACTGTCTAATGGCCATTGCACTCTTTGGACTGTAGTCTGCCAGCCATGGCCTTAGAGGGCAGGATTTTTTTTTCCTTTATGGAAGAAAGGTTTACCTATTTCAGCATTAAACTATGATTAAATTGATATTAATCTACAATAAAAGTTCAGTAGAATTTGCCTATGTTCATCTATGGAAGTGGACAACCTACAATCTATATGTACGTTTTTGCAAGCTCTCCTCTCTCCAATCAAAAGGGCTTCCAAAATGTTGCTGATGAAAAAAAAAACCCCAAAATTGCTATGGTCTAAGTTTTTTAGGATTTTAAGGAGAAAACAGGCTTAATATAAATTATTAATAAAAAAGGGAGGCTGTCTTACTACCTCTGGCTTTTGGATCCCCACTACAAAATGATACAGATCTCTTCATTACTATATTAGTAATACATGTTTATTTATTATTATTATTATTATTGTTGATTGCACAGATTTGGCATTTTTGTCCAATTATTATCTTGGTTGATTGCATAGTCAATCAGATGTTTACACTAGATGGCATTTTTATCGACCTATCAAGTCCTTCCCATGGATGTGAGATAAGCAGATGTTGTTGTTTGTTGGTGTTAAAAAGTATTGTCACAGGATTATGCTGTTCCAAGTAAAGCTATCTTATTGTTAAACATGCTTGTTTGTTTGAATTCTAAAGTCCCAAAGGAATTTATCCTCTTCAGTTTCTATTACTTTGTTCTATTGTGTGGTGTCATTAGTTCTTCCTTGCAGATGTTGCAATGAACTATTGTTGCTACCTTGTCATGCTGTTGTTTGCAATAAATCGGTGTGATCTTCTTGCTGCAGCTAACTAGGTGGGGAACTGTTTCTCCAGCTTCTTTGCAGAAGCAGCATTTGCTATCTTCTCAATTCTGGCTTTGTTTGCATTTGTTCTTTTTTATATAACATTGTATTAGTTTTCTGAGATTACAATTCATAAGTGCTTAGTAAACAACCTTAGTAAAGTTGTCTGGGTCCAGGTTTTGTTGTTATCTGCTTTTTTTGATAGTTTTTATATATACTGGCCATGTAATACTTTTCTTGCCATGTCTCTTTTTTACTCTTTATTTGGTCTTTCTTATAGGCCAATTTGATCTGTCTGGTATTCACTAAGCCTTCATGGTGTACTAGCTTCAGTGCATCTTCTTCACTGTCTATCAGATATTCTTCCAAAGCCTTTTTTTTCTTTTATTATTAGATTTATATCATTTTTTTACAACTCATGATTCAGTATATAGTGCTCTCACCACCTATTTTCCCACAATAACCAACTTTTAGGTGGGTTAGGCTGAGAGAGAGTTTCTGGCCAAGGTTACCCAAATAGTTTTCATGTCTAAAGGAGGACTAGAACTTACAGTCTCCCAGTTCCCATCCCAGCACCTTATCCACTACACCACATTGGCTCATGTCATCTCACTGGTATTTATCATAACATTGGACAACATAGACTAAATGAAGATATTAGAAAAAGAAAAGTAAAAATGTTTTTCATTGATTATAATAAGAAACAAGAAAATATTTCATTTTACCTTGTATTTCTGTTAACCAGTCAGGCTGGTTATAATGCTCAGATGAGATAGTTAATGTGTTCAGGAAGACCAGTACAATGACTAACCAATAAAAAGAAACAGATTTTACAGCAGCTCTGCATCGTCTTCGGCTGAAACGGTTCCATCGACGCCAGCGTCGGCTAAAATGACAGCATTATAAGGCAGAAACATTAAAATACAGGATAAAATTAGACAACAAATTCTGACACCAGAATATAAACTGACAGCAAACAGCACTCCTTACTAGCACTGATGATGTTACCAGTGTAATGAAACGTCTGCAAGAAACCAAAAAGAAGGTTTGTAACTGAGAAGGATATGTAAGTTCTTAATACAGGTCAGGATCAGGATTTGGCTGGATTTCTGTATCTATAAGCAGTATGCTTGTAAAGCAGGGGTGTCAAACTCGCAACGTCACATGAAGTGTCGCGCCATATTGCGACTTTTTCCCATTGCCGGCAATGGGGTGGGCGCAGTTTTGACAGGATGCATCCGGCCCGCCAGCCGACAGTTTGACACCCCTGTTGTAATGCATACTGGTTGGGATCAAAGAATCCTCTACTTTTAAGTATTAAAGCAGCAACAGTAGAAGTAATTGAAAGGGTTACCCAAAGGCTGAAAAGACTTGTCTTGGCTATCTGTGTACTCACCTGGATGCCAACTCCTTGCCTGGGGATCCCAGAGAAAGTGCTGTCCATACATGAACATTGATATGCAGACTAGTGACAAACTTTGAGGGAACTGTACAAGTACTCTTGTGGACATGATGCCTTGATTGCAAGGCTTTGCTTCTGGCAACATGTTTTAAGAGCCCCCTTTGAATGCCAGGCAGGGGAACAAACATTAAATTCCCTGAGCTTATATTTGCATAAAGACAGAACTATGTTGTGAACTGTCTCCAAAAATGAATGGACAGCTAATGCAAATTATAACATTATATTGCAGTTTAATATGATGACATGGTTATCTAATACACAATCTGGCAGGTTCATTCAGGAAATTTCTAAACAGTTTTTATAGATAACTTACATAAAACTTATTGAAATAATCCATGAGCAAATGTTGACCAATCCACATAGGAGCAGATTTTATACTCCTCTATTGTGCCAGCTCCATAAGAGGTTTGGAGAAGAGGAACATTTTTAAAAACACATCTTTCCCACATGCTCAACTAGAAATACTATCATCTATATGTTTGAGATTCTCCATATGCCACAATGGGGAAGAATTCCACTATCACACAGAGATGTTTTTCATACAGGAATCAGCACTGTATTTGCGTGTGTATAAATGTGTTGATATTTAGTTTTCCTCATGAAAGGTATGCAAGAGAGAATGAATTTTAAATTAGTTTGGTTACATTTATGACCTGATTCATGCTTGGTTGAACTAAGGCAAATAATTTAAACTTTTTATACAGATTTTACCTGCTTCTCTGATATGTTAACTCTTTAGAGCTTTTCAATGTATAAATCAATGTATAAATCAGCTACATGTACATTGATACAAGCTACAAGACAGTCCAGACTTTGTGAGACCTGGGTAGCAGCAGCAATGTCAATCTTCAAGCTTCATATAAATTTCCTTTATCTGTAGCATTTTATTTCATTTTTCAATTAAAAAAATAACAAACTGATTTGTGATCGTTATAATAAATGCAGTATGGCATAGAAAAATCAATAATACAACCTAGAATTTAAAAAATAATCATTCAGGCAGCTGATAAAATCAAGGGAAATCCTATGTTTAGAAATTTTGGACACAGTCCTCCCAGGAGATGACCACCTTACCTCTATTTTACCCAGTATTTGTTGCTATAGAAAGCAACCCTATCCCATGCCAGCAAATGTGGTACTGTGACCAAGAAGCCCTAGGTAGAATTGGATTGAACCTTAGATATTAGGAGCAACCACTTCCAAAGTACAAACACTTTTTTAGTATGAATATTTGTAGATCTGGGAAACCGAAAATGACTGAAACAACCAGAAAAAAATAGCCTATATCAATTTATGGTTACTTCTGGAAATGACAGTAGTAGTAAGATGATAGTACTGTAAGCAGAGGTAAAGATAGACTTAATGTTCAGACAATTCTATTCACCTTGTTGAAACAGAGTGAATATGGGCTTTAACATGTATTACCATGATAAGGATTTCCTATACCCATTCATATTCCAAGATAAACAAGTAATGACTCAAGGTAGCTAAACATAAGAGACTGTTGACTTAGCTCAGCTGTAGTTTACTAAGCAGTGAGATTTACCTAAAAGGGGATTAAGTTGTTCATACGAATCAGGACACCAGAATATCAGTGACAGAAAAATTTGTGAATGGATCTCGTCCCTAAGAACCCGGAAGCAAAAGAGATGAATTGGAATTGCGGGAACAGAATATTAAGAATCTTAGATTCAAAAAGAAAGCAGCCATGACAGGTGTAAAGGAAAGTGGGCCTGCCTTGGGAATGGAGAAGGAGTTGGGATTTTCAGAAAAGATTATTCAGTTCTGAGAAAGAGGGAAGCATGAGAAAGAAACTCAAATTAGCCCCATCTTGAAGATGGAAGATAGAGAATCTCTAGCAGGCTTTCAAGATTCAGCAACAAACAGCATTCATGGAACCCCTGCTGGTTTTTTGGTGGAGCTGGCCTGCCTCAAAGACATAAGGCCACTGATTTGGAAAGCAAGAGGTCTAATCTTCTCTTGAAGGGCAGCTGCAACTTCCGTAATCGGGGTGAGAGGAAAAACAAATGAAGAATTATAGAAGGAATGCTAAATTTCTGGGCCATCATTTTTGCACAAGTTTTATCATATAAGATGAAATATGTCTCCATTTACTGACCCCTTTATCCAAACAAAGAGCATTTATTTCTCTCTGGAAGAATATTTACTTTAAATTGGGTGGGAATAACTCTTGTCACAAAAGAAAAACACCCCCATTACGGACTAAGGCATGAGTGAAATAAACAGAATAAAAGCAACAGTTTACAAAAATCAAGCACATGAAGTACTCTGACCATGGAGGGCTTTGAATTAAGCATTATTCTCGGAAACCAGTAAAGGCTGAAAGTCTGCAGAGAACTGATCAAATTTCAGACTGAGCATTGGATATATGGAGAGATCCGTTGCTTACATCCAGAAAATACCACATCTTGTGATTATACCTAGGGGTAAACAACTTTGTGTTCTTCAGTTACTTAGGACTGCAAGTCTCATAAACACAGGCCACTGAGCATACTGGCTGGGGCTTGTAGGAATTGTGGTCAACAATATAAGGACACTTGGTTAGCTATTTTGAATACCAGCCTCAAACTGAAGGTGAAATGTATCTGGTCATCAATGTAGCTTTAGTCATAGTTTAACCACTTCTGTTATCAATATATTCATTTCTGAGTCCAGGGAGGACTCAGAATAAATAAAAATTCATATCAGGGCAAAGCGCAGTTAAAGTAGTATTGACAGTTTGAATTTTAAGATCAAGTTGTAAAGTTTAAATTGGACAGAGTAATAAATGTAGAATTTTGGAAAGCTTTAAGAAATGTATGTGCTTTTTTTGTAAAAAAAAAAAAAAAAAAAAAGGTGCCGGAACTCACACATGTCATACCACCCGCCTTGCCTACCCTACAAAGTTCCATCCAAAAAAGGTGCCGGACCTCCGTTCTGGGCGTTCTATGACAAAAAAAAGCCATGTATGTATGTATGTATGTATTGGAAAAAATACTAGTGCTTGTTTTAGCATTTTCAGGTTTTAATGTGAATAAAGACAAAGTTAAGAAATAAAGCAAGATGTACAATATTGTGAATATGACTGACATTTTATTCTGCTTGTAAATATTTACTCAAAGAAAAGGAGAAAATAACTTTACTAATGGAAGTCATCAATAAAACATGACATAATAATTGAATACATGTTTTAAGAAAATCAAAATATTAGGCTCCTGTTTTTGATGTCATTGCAAAGAGGCAATGACAATGTTCATTTTATATTTATAAAATATAGTATAATTAATTCCACTTATCAAATGTCATACACAAAAGTCCTCATAAAACATTATTTTAGGACTTCTGGTTTGCCATCGTGGCTGCCGCGGCCACTGGAAGGCAAGCTCCGTCTTCTGCGTTTGGTTTCACTCCGCTGGGAGACCCTGGAAAGGGTCAAAAGTTGCCCTGTAGGGGCGATGAGCAAGGAGGAGACCTCCGCTTGATCGCAGGAGGGCGGCAGCCCTTCCGCTCGATCTGGGGCAGCCCTCCAAACCAGCAGAGGAAAGACCAGCCATAGTAATATGGCCCGTCACTAGGCTGCAGACAGCTGAAATCAAACTTATCACCAAGCACTTTGAAAGCAACACGGATGAAACTGGGTAAGATCCGATCTTCTCTTTACCCTAAGTATTTTCTTTTCCTGTAAAAGCTGCCTGAAGTATTTTTCCCCCTGTGAGGAGAGACAGAAGGGAATTTCTATCCCACCCTCTAAGAATAGTGGTGACTGACTACCCAGGGGAATTAAAGCACTAAAAGAACAACTTTAATCTAATTGGATTTATATGTTCCTGAAACTTGGGGACCAAAATTTTTCCTGTTTTTATTGGAGACTTTTGCTTTTATCTACAAAAAAGAAATAAAATTGGAAAAAGGATTATAAAAATTTTGGACTTAAAAAACCTTAAATGGCATCAGTGACATCTTGTGGTGAAGTTTGGTATTACAACTTGTTATTTCCTAAAAGAGACTTGGCTCGAAGCCGAGACCTTAGATAAGACTCTTTTGACCTTGGCACCACCTGTGAGAAACTGAGCTGTAAGAGAATATCTGGGCAGCATAACTGGCCTAGTTGAACTGTGAATGTAAACCTTTACTGACTTTCAGAGTTATATGTGGGGAATTGCCTTCCTATCTCTTTATTTGAGGAATATTGGTTACTATATGAGATGATGAAATACCTTGGACTATAAAATCTTGTTTGACAAACGACTTCTACTATAAAGATTATTTATAAACACGTGAAAGAGATGGATGAAGACCAGGAAAAGATCTTTTCCATGTTGAAAGCAATACATGAAACCATTCTTTTAGCTTGTGATAAAATAAGACCTAACATAAAACATTAAGACGCCAGCTTAGATACGCAAACTCAAACTTTGACTACAACCAAAGAACTAACAACGCAGAACAGAAGAAGTGGAACAATCAAATATTAAGACAGAGGACTCAACTGACCAACAAATACCGTTAAGGGAAAATCCAGAAAAGGGAGTGATAACACTGAAAATGGAAAAGACTTTCTATATAAATCAGAAGAAATTTGAGAAAGAAGAACATATGGAATGTAAGATAAACATATTAGGCCAATCATGGGGAATTGGAATAATAGGGAGACAACTTAATGAATACAAATGGGCTAGTCCTTCCAAAAAAATGGCAATTAAATGGTCTCCCTTATTTCAAATAACACATATAATAATAGAGGGAGATCTATTTGATTATCTAAAAGCATTGATATGGAAGGCTCATTGGCAAAGGAAGAAAGCCAGAATAAGGCTGAAGAAAATTGGGGTTTTGATTTATTACAGGGGATTTCATATTATTAATTAGAGGGTTAAAGGGAAAAGTTGAGATAAGGGGAATTCTGGTCATTAGTTTTAAAATATTTGGAAATTAGTTGAAAATAAGGATTTTATCTGTTAATATTTAAAAATTAGACCTAAAAGAAAAAAAATAATTATTATGAATATGTTTGATTTATTGATTAACCCAGGCAATATATATAATGGTTTTGATTTATTAAAAGAGATACTGTATTATTAAGTACATGATTTAATATGGTGGGAAATAGATAACTTTTAGGAAATAGAACAAGATTATATTCAAATAGATAAAATGTGTATTTTGGATATTAGATTCTGTTATGAACTGAGATAACGGAAATCTTGGTTACCTAAAGCCTGAAAATTATAAATATCAAAGGTTAAATTGGAATATTGATGGGAAACTAAAAATTGGGAAAAATAAATAACAGGATATGGATTGTGTATGAAGATTGAATGTAAAAAAAATTAAGATACATATAAGCTAAAAATTTATTGATAAATATAATACTACTACTACTACTACTAATAATAATGTTTTTACTGAGTTGATATAATAAGAACTGTATTAGCTTAAATACGAGACAGTAAATGTTAAGGAAAAAAGAGAGGAAATATTTGATGTTGTAATTTGAGATTTGTACTAAAGATTTTGTTATTGAACTATTGATTAACCCAGCCACCACGTTGCTTTTTAAATACTTAAACGTAAAATTGGAAAATTAATAAAATATTATTAAAAAAATAAAACATTATTTTAGCAATTTAAATTGTTTTGTATGTAAGTTGAGTGAAAAGGGTAAATAATATACCGGTATGTCAAACATTCAGCAGGTTGACTTCTGGTTGAAAAGACAAATGAAAATGTCCAGCAAAGGTTTCTTTCAAGAGCTTTTCATGAAGAATATTGAAAAAATATACCCATTCCCACTAAAACACAGGAATTCTGAATGCAAATTTTCCATGTTAGGTTTCTACTGTATTTCAGTCAGTACCTACAGAGATGAGATCTGTATTTTTGGTAAGACGAATTAATGTTCATCAAGAGCAACTAAAATGATCAAAGGCCTGGAGATTAAAACATATGAAGAATGGCTGCAGGACTTGGCTAGTCTAAAGAAAAGAAGAAACAGGGGCGACATGATAGCAGTATTCCAGTATTTGAGGGGCTGCCACAAAGAAGACGGTGTCAAACTATTCTCCAAAGCACCAGAGGGCAAGACAAGAAACAATGGTTGGAAACTGACCAAAGAGAGAATTAAGGAGAAACTTCCTGACAGTGAGGACAATTAACCAGTGGAACAGCTTGTCTCCAGAAATCATGGGCGCTCCATCACTGGAGAATTTTAAGAAGAGACTAGACAGTCACTTGTCTGAAATAGTATAGGTTCTCCTGCTTAAGCAGGGGGCTGGACTAAAAGACCTCCAAGGTCCCTTCCAGATTCTATTCTATTCTATTCTATTCTATTCTATTCTATTCTATTCTATTCTATTCTATTCTATTCTAATTCTATTCTATTCTATTCTATTCTATTCTATTCTATTCTACTCTACTCTACTCTACTCTACTCTACTCTATACTCTACTCTACTCTACTCTACTCTACTCTACTCTACTCTACTCTAAGATTTTGAAACCAACTACCAAATTATATTTGGAAACAATGGCAGAAAAACTACAAGCCAGGGACTGAAAGGAAACAGAAGATATAAGGCAGACATGTCAAACTCGTGATGTCACATGACATCGTGCAACGTATCGGGATGGTTTTGCCATTGCCAGAAATGGGGTGGGTGCAGCTTCCGGATGACGCGTTCGGCCTGCGGGCTGGCAGCTTGACACCCCTGATATAAGGCATCAAGAGAGGTACAGCAGTTTCCAATCAAGAAAGGACACTTCATTTAAAATATGCTATTGTTTTTATCTTCAGCTTTTCACCAAGGCTGATTGGATGATATTCCAACATAAATTTTTTATCACATCAATATGAAGATACATTCTGCAGGGATTTCGTTACCTTTTTCCTCATTATATAAGCTTAGTTGTCAGAGTCCACTAAAGTTTTAGTACTTCTAATTGAACCGAAATTTTCTTTCCATCTCCCAGCCCTTTTTCTTTTTCTTTATCAGTAGATAAACCAGCAGATGGTTTGAATATTTGTAGATTGTCAGTTTAAGAGAGAAAATATTTTGGAAAAATAATTCCCTGCTCATGAAATTAATGAGGATACATTTATTTTATTTTATTTATTAAATTTTTTTGTTATGTTTAATTCCCATTACTGCAGGCCCCTTGATTTATCTGTCCTTTTGTGCATAAGAAATGGGACATTTTGATATGAACAACTATTTGCAAAATAATAGAATTAAGCAATCCTTAAAATAATCCACTAAGCAGCCAAGGGTTGAAGTCATAGTAAGATTTAAAAAAAAAGCAGGCTCAAAAAAAAAGACCCTTCTACATCCATCTTATCAAATTCTTCAGCAAATATATCTAAATTTAAAAAAAACACCAGATTTTTATGGATCAGGCATTCCAGAGACAATCAGAATTCCCTTCTCCAAATAGTGTGATTATTTCTTGATGGTGCCTATTTTTATATAGAGTGCTTTTATGAACAGCATACAGCTTAGTAAGCTAATCAGCAAGAGTTCTTGCTCTTTAAGATGCATTATACACATCATGATATTAATCATCTGCCATCCCAAAACCGAAAGAAACACAGAACAGCAGCATTTGAGGAAGACACATAAATTGTCTTCTACCGTTGTCATTGTCAATGAAATAACCAGCACAGCACTTTCAAGTTAAGGCTTATGTTGGCATCTTAAGAGGATATTGTTAATCACTTATGCAATTGGGGCATGGAGCTGAGGTTCCCCAGTTCCTGTCTCCTCTGGATACTCGCCCCTCCTCCTGTATAACATCATTTGATACTTGCTCTTGGTGGCATTTTTCTACCCGAAAGAAATCCTCATTATCTGTTGGATGATGGCTTTGTTCCAAGCTATACCTTAAATGTAATTTGATGTAACAATAAACTGCTGGACCACCTTTTTATGAAAAACAACACTGAAAAAGAACAAGCAGGGAAATTGAAGATGTATAATCTTTTTCTTGTGTGCCAATTCCTCTGCAAATTGTTCTGCTACCTCTCTTCTTTGTGGCTTTTTCCCCCTGAGGAATTTGAAATGCACAGATGTCTTCAGAAAGTCATATTGTCAATCATGTGATAAGCAAAACCGGGAAATTAATCTGGGGTAGAAAAATCACTGAGCAAGAAAACAATGAATTACTCTCCTTCATTCGTTCTTTTTTTTTTTTTTTTCCAGAAAAGAGGGTTACATGGAATAGTTGTTTTGTAGTTCTGTCTTTCTTTAAAAAGAAAGAAGCATATGCTGTAACTATTATAACAAAACAATGGAAAAAGTAAAATGTGATGGTCTGTATAATCCTTTTATATTTACTAACACAATTTTAAAAATCAGTCATATTCACCCACAATATCTATAGATAATCAGCACAGAATTATGATATATAGCAGGAAAATGAGAGGGAAAGAATACTGACCTGAACTTGGATTTTGAGATAATTTGACTAAAAGAAAAGGAAAGCACATTTTAAAGAAAATATAAAACAAGAATGTACACATCTCATTTCAGTTTGAAACCTGAGTTGGAATTATTTAAATATTGTTAGTTATGGACATATTCAACCAGGATAAACCATATAACAATGGCCTTTCTTAACTACTTTTAATAAACCAACATTATAATTAACTATGTTTTACAGTTATACTCTTTTTGAAATAATGAATGCACGTTTACCTTGAAGTTCTTACTCAACAATTTAGAAAGAGGTTTTAATTAAACTATCGGGATGGAAATAAAATAATTCTAATCTGCACTTTTTCAGAAAAAAATGATAAGCCTACAATATAGGCCAGGGAAGAATATTTTATCAACACTGTCTAATGGATTAGACAGTGGATTTTGAATAGTAATTTTAACATGAACTTCCAAAGTTTAAATCTCACAAACCTGCCAACCTATCATTTGCAGAGTTGTAATGTACTTATTAGGAGTTTCTTACAAGGTTGAATTTAGAGTAGGTCTAAACAAAAGGTGCCAATTCACGATAATGTTATTCATATTTTTATGCAATATTTATCAGCTTGGACAGAGTTCCCCAACCTTTCCAGCTTTGTGGACCAGTGAGGAGGGAGAGGGGATGATTCCACACAAGCGACGGGCATGTGTGCCCGCTGCTCATGCAAATAGAGTGCACCTGTACATGCCCCCCACGCTGCTCATGCAAGTGCGGATGCATGCATGCTTGTCTGCCACTTCCATGGCCCAGTTCCAAATGGCTCATGGCCCGATAGTGGGCCACAGCCTGGGGGTTGGGGACCCCTGAGCTAGGGCACCCTACAAATTGCTATATATAAATTAAATACAGTAGGATACAAATGCTAGCTTTTAAAAACTCCAGTCTGATGTATGATATGATATACTGTATTTAGCCCCCTTTAAAAAAAAACAAACCAAAAATCTGTTTCAGAGAACTTTTTCTTACAATTTGCAATGAATAAAGCAGTGTCATTGATGTAATTGGCTATGTTAAGACTTACAATCAAATAAAAGTGACCTTTTCTTTCAGAAAACTTGGTCCAGTCCATTTCTCCATTGAGTATTGGGCTAAAAGCCTTCAAGAGTTCCATGATATACTCACCACAAATTTCCACAGCATGTGGTCTCTCCTTCACCACCCACATTTTCAGTATTCACTGACTCGGTCTCGCTTACTTGCATGCTTGCTGTTGTGAAATAATGAAAGTATAATTAGATTTGTTATTGAAAAGCAACATATGAAAATATCTCAAATGTCTCTCAAATATTATTTTTATAATAATGGTCTCTCCTGTAACAATCTGTAGTGCAATCAACACAAAGAATAAACGGATCTCACCTAAAAGGTACAAATAGACCAGAGTTCAGGATTCTAAGCAAAGAAAATCCTAGCACACGAACAGAAAAGCACAAATACAACACAGAATCTGATTATCCTAGGCCAGTGTTTCTCAACCTTGACAATTTTAAGGCATGTGGACTTCAACTCCCAGAATTCCACAGCCAGCAATGCTGGCTGTGGAATTCTGGGAGTTGAAGTCCACATGCCTTAAAATTGTCAAGGTTGAGAAACACTGTGGCACTATTAATAGGGCAAAATCATTCTTCTGCAAGGTACAGTGAAGCTATTTAGTTTTCCACAAAATGCCCTTTCCCCCAATGCTTGCATTAATATGATGAGAGCTGTGAGACTCCAAATATGGTTGCAATATTTGGAACAACTTCTCAGTAACTTACTTCTGGATTATAAGAAGTTAATTCTGCTTCTGCTTTCAGCTCACATAGCATTTTGTCTCTTCGTTTTAGCAACATGGGATCAATGATGCTGGTCTAGCCTACAGACCTGATGTTGTTCCTGAAGTATAAACTCCTGTTACCGGGTCTAATCCATGGATGGATGGATCATGGCATATGAACTGGATCTATCCTAATGTATTGGCTATAACTACTTTAAGAATGTATGGGCTGACACAAGCAAAAAATATTTTCAATTGCTAGCACAAATATACTAATACAACTCTTGAAAGTCAACTCAATAATTATTACAGGTGCACTTGTCAATTCAGATGAAAGGATTATCCTAGCATCCAGAATATAAATGTACTTTCTTGCCTGCCCACAAAGATAAGCTGTCACCTAAAGCAGAGCAAGCAGTAAATTAACTTTTAAATTACAGCATAAAGTGCCAGTTACATTTCTACTTTATGCCTTAGCAAGTTTTGCCAGGGACAATTCTGACATCTTTTATTATCTTGGTCCTTGTTTAAAGTAAACCATTTCCTTACTATGCTATTGTTTCTGGAAGATTTGTCCTTGTGGATATTTTGAAGAACAGCTAGATTAAAAATGTATTGTTCACAGTTTGGTCCAAGCTGCAAAATTTATGAATCACTAAATTGAAGGCTGCCAGCCAGCTACACACAGTGATCTGCCAAGTTTAGGACTCCTCCCTTTTTTAAAATCCCAAACAGAATAGGAAGATCAAGAGATTACTGAAGTTTTTCTGGGACATATTTTACAACCAGAGGGGCCATAGTATATCCAGGCATGGTTCAAAAATTATATATGTGGACCAAAATCTTACAAAGTTAGGAATATAATTCTGGTTTATATTTGGATTCATGAGACTTAAGGAGAAAACTCAGTGCTCCATACCATCTCTACCTACCCATTTCCTTCATTTCTCTTCCTCTGGTCCTTTTCATGTTACAATTGTTACAATTGTCTTCTGAAACACTACCATAATCGTACATGCAGAATTAATGAGAAGGAGCTTGTGTGTAAGAACATTGCAGGAAATCTCTACACCTGTCAACTAGGGAAGATATAATCTGACTGTTATGTAACCCTTTGAAAACCTTGTGAACAATTCAAATGAATAACCCTTCATTCCTAATTATTTTTGGAGGCTAAAGATTCCTCCATTAAAGTAAGCAGTTGTCTCAAATTATAACAAAATTGTAACCTTCTAATTTAGTTTTGCAAGAAGGCTATCTTCCCATCTGCTATGTGGAATAATATAATATGCTTTTCAATAGATTCAGGGTTAGAGTTAGTGAAGAATGCTGGTAAGAGGGGTAAGAAAGTAATTATCATCCATAAAGGCCCTTGGATTTAATTGCAAGGGAAATCATCTGAACCTGGCATACGTAGATTTTTTGGGTTGTTACAGCTGCCAGACTAATACTTTCTTAAGCAATTGAAATGTCCTCTGATTTATGTGATTTCCCTTTATTCTGGAATGGGTACAGATCTCTTATGCTCATAAAACAACGATAGCTTGTGTTAATTATCCTAGAGACAAAATATAGCATAAATTTATCTTTGGAGGGACCAGTACACTTCTACCTTAACAATAAATTATTCTTATTTGTATTTAGATTTATATCCTGCTTTTTACCTTATGTGTTCAAAGCATTATGCTTAATATTGTCTCCTCCAAGTTCCTTAAGTAAGGAAACCTAGACAGCGAGATAAGGACTGGTTCAAAGGCACCCAATGAATTTCATGTATTGGAACTTCAGTCTGGGCCTTTCTGGATAAAGTTCAGGATTGCAACTACTATTATCATGTCAGCTTTCAGCAGTTGTGCTAAACTTTTCATTCACACACAGGATGAATATAGAGATAGGCAGTACTGATAGAGAATCCTCGAAGTTGGGCATCCCAGAGGGAGAAAGAACCAACTGCTGCACAACTACTTATTATTTGACTGATACAGATGGAAAGGGCAATAACTATGTGGAAGAATATAGTTATTCTAAAAGTTCTAATTAGAACATGGCATTTTCTGGTTTCAAATGTTCAAGCAGCAAACATATATGGCTGCGTGCATCTGCAATAATTGAATTATTAAATCATTTTTTTTCAACTTTGGCCACTTTAAGATGTGTAGACTTAACTCCCAGAGTTTTTCAACCAGCATTTAAAACATTAATTAAAATCAATAATATGCACTGAATAGTCCCCAGCCTAGAATTCATTATACAATGAGAGCTTTTCTAAAGATTCATAGTTTTATCACTTTGAAATTAAAATAATGTACCCATTTGCTTTTTTTAGTTTGACTGGGTGTATACATTTCCTAAGAACAACAGAAAAAATTTCAATATTCTAAGCTACTGCAGAACAATTTCTCAAAAACATGCAGTCAAGCAGCAAATCATGTCCATGCAAAACATGTGTGTTCATGCATAGGGTTTTTTTTATGTGTGCATGGATTTTGAAAAGTAGCAAAGTTCATCATTTCAAATGAAATGTTCCACTGCAAAAATACACACACACACACATTTTACCATGTTTGTTGGCCCCACGACAACAGCTAAATCTGCTTTTCTTCTTACTTTCTAATAAATCAGCCAGTGTAACCCCTTCATATTAAGTACATGCAATCCCATCCATAATACAGTAGATGGCAGCAGCAGAAGTGCAGAAGACAATAAATTAGCCATATTCAGTCAATGCAAGCAGACCGAGAAAAGTAATACAAAAGTTAAACTTGGTTGAATTATCAATAATACTTGCAAACCTATACCTATATTTGTATAGTGGTGGTGGTCAGGATAGCTATTAATGGATTTCTATCTCTCTTCATAGTTTGTATAATGTCCAAAGCCTAATGATCATTGATGACTGGAATATAACAAGGTCAGATATATGATTGCTGAAAAGTCTTCCCAGTGATTTAAGGTGAAATTTCAATGCATTCCTACCGAACTCTCATTCAAATAAGCTATGTTAGCTACCTCTCTGTAACTGATAGATTCAGCCACATGCATTTCCAAGAAATAATTTTGCTGAAATCTGAAAAGCTTCTGGAACTCAGTCTTTCGACCTACACGATCCAATAATGTATTCTACATTAATGTAATATTCAAAGTAATAATTTACTTGTGGATATTAATGTGGATGAATACGGATTTCCCTAAATTAAATTAGTCTATAATCTGTTATTCTTAGCCAAGATCAGACTGGAATAACCGAGAAAGCAGAGATGAATCACTTCTAACAGTTACGCAGATCGTTCAATGCCTTCTACTAAATAATCAGCATCCAAATATTTTTACAAGAGTGTCACATGGAGTAAATAAAGATTAAAGCTGAATTACAGAATCACAAACTGAGCTTGTCTTTCAGTTTATGCTGTTTTTCCTACCTGATTGAAAATGTTAATTCCTGCAAGCATAAACTGCATTATGTATATTAGCGCACAGCCTCATGATAGGCAGTGAATCCAGAAAGCTCTGTTTGTGATAGCTGTTGGCCAAAAAACATTCCTACCAGGCTTACAAACCCCTGAGCGCATACTGTGAAATCTCCCTTATTTGTATGTCTCTGTGAAGTTTTTCTAAGGAAAGAATGGTGGACTTTGATCTCTGACTGAGCCTGCAATTCTAAGCATATTTATCAGGAAACAAGCCTAACTAAATATAGTGTGTCTTGCTACCAAGTAAGATGCAATAGGGAGGCTTACACATAAATAAATCATTTTCTAAAAGAGCTAAAAGAGTCCAAGCCAGCCCATATCCAATTCTAATTCATCCAAATATTCCAAATCAAAAGTATTTTGGCTATATGATGACTATACAAGTTTATTGCAAAACAATAGAAAGAATATACAAATCCTGCAATAGAGTATTAGCCATAACAGAAGATTAACTTCAGCGGACTTTGTATATTAAAACTGGCCCATGCTGAACATAACAATACTGCTGCAGCAGATGTGTAAAAACATTTTGTCATGTAGGACAACCTGTGTCACTACTTCTACTCATTAAAAGAAATCAGTTGACAAACAGTGTGATGTTTTCACAGAAGATAGCAAGTGCTTAATTTTCTTGTTCTTATCAATGGTTATCACACAATGGTATTTTAAGTGGCAGTGTTTGTGAGAATTAAAAAAAGATATCTGCACAATTTCACAGGCACTCTAGATTGTGTTTTGGGAAACATGGATTAGCAGAGGCAAAAATGAAAAAGAAAACCCGCAATCAAGCAAGGCAATAAATAATCTTATGAAACATTAAGGTTTTAATTTAGATTGATTTTAAGGTATTCTGGAACATCACATCTAGTCTACTAACTACTCCGCAACATTAACATCTTGTTTGGTTACGGGATGCTATTTGATACATAGCACAAAGTACTGTTTTAAGATGTCATTAACAATAAGTCATAAGGACAGTAGATACTTAATCAGGAAGAAAGAACATCTCTGCAGACCAAGCTCATAGTGTGAACACTCAGAGCTTGACATGTTTGTCTCTAAAATTAGCTGAGGAAGTGGATGAAATGGTTCTTCCCTTTTACAAATTCTATGTATTCCGTCGCCAGGAACTCAACTATTTTCCTACTTCCATAAAATGTCACTATCCTATTTCAATTCTTCTATAGCTATCATTTATTTCTAAAGGAAGATTGAAAATAGAAGGGATTTTCCAGCAGCCCAATTCTGCCTTCTTTTAATATATCTATGGATCTACGTAATTGCCCCAAAGTGTTAGTGAAGACACAGAAAGTCACAACAGAAGAATTCTGGAGTAGTGCAAGAATAAGATGGCATGTCAAAGATGTATAATTGGGATATAATGCTTAAAATACCCTGCTTAGAAATTGATGTATGTTTAAAGAGCTCACCATTACATTGTACATTTCTATGCAGTATTTACAGGTATCTGTAAGAATTAAATAACAAAAATGCAGCCTGATTGCATTTGAATTGTAATAAGCCTATGCAATGATACAGTATACATTTCTCAATTCTGCATGTATCTGCATAAATGAGCATCTTTCCCTAACAATGAGGAGTTAAAATGGAATCTACTGCTATAAATGCTTCAAATAAAGAAATTGTTCTCAGTCCTACGAAGTGACTCTGGAGCTCACTAGATGAATCCCAAAAGACCACAGGCCTGTAAAAGCTCAAACCAATCCTCTTTTCTATAGTTTTGGAATGTCTAAAATGTGTGGCAGGAGATAAAGTCTAGATAGCAAAAGGTTATATTCCTTCTGCCAGGAAAACTTAAGCTTCCACTTTATGTTTCATAATATATTCCATACTGTAAACATGCTATAAATCAAATAATAAGACATAATTGTCATGAACAGAGTAATTCCCAATTCATAGCCATTGTTTTGCGGCTTACTCTCACATAAAAGCATGCCTGACTTTTATAAATAAAAATTAAAAAGGTATCAATTGGCCTTGAAATCTAAACCCCAATAGGAGTTAAAGAATATATCCAAATTATAAACTAATTAATGGAATATGGACAACAGTATTTTGGCTTGCAAGATATTATTTAGGTTAAAAGTTTTAGTTTGCACAAAAGAATATTAACATGCTTGAGTAAAAAGGCACTTTGGTTGTGCTTGTGGCCTATTGGTCAAAATCAACCAATAAGAGTCCTTCTGTTAGCAGAGAATATAATCATGGATGCAGCTAAGGCCGGTATTCTAGTCTAGACTGTACTTTTGTATTTTACAAATAAATGTGAAAGCTTTCATAAACCAACTCTAGGATAGTAGTGGAGGTCAACATCTGGGCGCCATCTGGCGATTGTCATAACATATGAAAAATTGCAGGTTGAATGTAAAAGGAATAAATAAGAAGGGCCACGAGTTAAGAAGTGGAATAAAGAAAAAGATAGACTATGTGTCTTTAAGCATAAGAGAAAGGGAAGGTTGCAACAGATCTAAAAGAAAGAAGATAATTAGGGAGAGGAGTTGATGAATTCATGCAGGGAAAGGGAAGTTTAGGTTTAATATGGTGGAAAGTATGAACCGGCATCATCTAGGCTCTTCTCAATGCATACAAAAGCAAGAATCCATAAGTTGATGGGTGAAAGAAAGAGAAAATGCAGGCTAATTTTGGTAGAAATAAATAATGGCTGCTGAAGTAGATGAAAAGGCGTAGACAAGGAGTTTCCACCAGAGAGAATGAAATTAAAAATAAATGTAATAAAATGATTTAAAATAAAACCAAAGTGAGGGAATGTGGGAAACTTCAGAGATTTGTATAATAAGGTTAATATCTAGAAAAAACAGATGGAAAAAAGTAATAAATGTGAGAATTCTGAAAAATGGTCTGCACTGTTCTTGATAGAACTGGAAAAGTGTTAATATACAAATGATATTTGCTAATGGAATGGCTATGCTACTAGTTAGTTAACGTATGTATAAAGTTAACATATGTATAAAGAGTGTATTTGTACTTGATGATTAGGAGAATACTATCATTGTTTCCTTATATAAAGGGAAATATAGCAAGAGAGAATGCAAAGACTACATGAGTATTAATATCTTATAGGGGGCCAGGAAAGAATTTGGCAAAATTCTGGTGGGTGGGGTTTTTGAAATCAGCAAAATTTGGAAAATTCAATAGGCATTATGCTGGACAGGGGGTGCGTTGACCTCATTTGGGAAGAACGTATGAATCTGAGAAAGTTGATTGAATGTAATCCCCTTCTGCCTTCTCCAACCTAATATCCTCCAAACTTCTTAAATTCTCAACAAGTTTACTCAATAACTACTCCCTAAAGCCATGATGATTAAGTATTCTGGAATTGCTACCCCAACATATTTGGAGAAAGTCAATCAGAGAAGGCCATTGTAAATCATTTTTAGAACACAGCATCTTCTTTTATCAGTGATCTTTAATTGAGGAGCTTTGACATACTATTTCGTTTGCCTTCTCCATCACCTTCCTCTTCATTCTCTGGGTCAATGTCTTCTGCTTGGGTAATCCAATCCAAATAACCTTTGAGATCTTCTTCCAGCTGTTGTTTTTCACGTAGCTTCTGAAAATCTCCCCTGGCCTTGGCTTTTTCTCTTTCCTTGGAAAATTCTCTATGGGATGCAGATAAAACATGAGATGTTGATTTCTGAAGCTACATAGCTTTTCAAAAAGAACAAAATTCAACCCCCCCATATTTTTTCTTTATTTTTCCTTGACAGGATTATATAAATAAAGAAAATTTACAAAAATGCAAACACTTTCCACATATCACATAGCAATTCAAATCACTTGCCATGCTACATTCCTTATGCATTATACTTTTAAGGACTCATAACAATATGCATTCCAAACCTTCGTCTACCAGACTTGCTCTGGCATCATTCTGGATCTCCTCTGAAGTAGACTGGACAAAATGCATTCTTTTGTCTTCTGAAAATATAATTAGGGTCTTGGGTGGCCCTGCCAGCTATTTTATTTATTTGTTTGTCTAATTTATATAGCCTCCCACATGAAGTATCCCTGGGCAGCATACAATATAACATAGTATTAAAACATACTGCAAAACAAATTAAAAACAATAAACAGATAAAAACAAAACCACAAGCAGGAGAATTTTACACATAGTGCAGCCAACATGCAGGCTCTCTAAGGGCTTTTTGGAAAGTACGATAATGAGGACTGAAGCTACCGTCATCTTAACAGGGAGGGTGTTCCAGATGGTGGGTGCCACAGCAGAAAAGACTCACCTTTAGGTCCCGTCAGATGGAACTCATTGCAGACGGGACCCACTAATACCATTATTGCTTGTGCAACATCAAAGATCAACGTTGTTGGACTCAGAATCATATCTTCTCAGTAGCAGCCCCTGCCCTGCCCTCACCCTCCCCGAGATACAGATGGCTCCAATCCTGTTAGTCTTTTCACAAGATATTGAAGACTTGGCTGTTTTCCTAGGGATTTGGGTCAGATAGTTAGATGACCTCCGTTTATTTTTTTTATTTTTATTTTTATATATGTGTGAATGGTGATATTGTTTGTTTTTGAGTCCCTAGGCTAGGGTTATATGTTGTGGTCTTTTCTGTGTTAGCTGCACAGAGTCAACTGCATGAAATGGGTAGCTATAAAAAAACACACAAATGAATGAATACATAAAATGTTGGTTTTATTTTTATTTTTTTAACACTATTTGTGTTGGAGAATGGAGAGCTCTTATGTTCTCTTCCTATTTATCCTTAGCTCTGCTGAGAAACGGAATGCTGTCAAAGTGACTTTGGTTTGCTTTTGCCTGGAAACTGAAACTGACAGTTCATTGCCATTTTCTATTTAGTGCATCATTATTTAAATGCCTTTTTCTCTTAATCCTGTGTGTGCTAGGCTGCAGCTGTTTTTAGGAATGTACCCACATAATTAACCGAGCAGTTTCTTAATAGAGGAATTCAAGGGCACCCACTGTAAGAATAGCACGGCTGTAGGAATTGCCAGGAATATATTTGACTAAATAAAAGTATCCCTACAAACCCATTACTTTCCCATATAGAAGGATCATTCAGGGACATGCCAGAACATTGATCTCTTGCCGTCCTCAAGCAGGACAATAAATTCACATTATAGATATAAATGTACATTTGAAAAGTGTGTTCCCATGACTACCCAGAGAAATAGCTGTGCTTCCAGCAGAATCTGTCTTCACAGAAAGTATCCTCTAGTGGTTAGCACCGTTCCCGAGGAGCAGATTATCCCGCCTCATTAAAAAAGCTCTTCCACTTGTAAATAAGAAATGATTCTCTTACTACTTCAAATATTTTATGTTGACAGTATAATAACCCCTGAATGGTTGACATTTTAAATGTGCCATTTTCCCCTATATAATTCATTCCCTCTCTACAAGGGGGCTAATTTTATAATATAAAGGCAACAAATCCATTGAAGGATAGCTCACATTTTAAGCAGCTGCCTTAAATAGATGTGCCCAGAATTAAGGCTGTGGTCTTGACTAAACCAAAACTTCAACAGGAAAGCAATAAGTAAAACAATTCTGAAAATTAAATCAAGTTTGATGAAAATCCTGGAGCACTGGGGAACTACCAGAGGACTGGAAAAGAGCTGATGTTGTTCCCATCTTCAAAAAAAGGAGGGGAAATGGATCCAGAAAACTACAGACCTATCAGCCTGACCTCAATACCTGGGAAGATTCTGGAAAAGATAATCAAGCAACAAATCAGCGAACACCTAAAGTCATTACCTAAAGCCTACATGGGTTTGTCAAAAACAGATCATGCCAGACAAATCTTATTGCATTCTTTGACCAGGTGACAAAATTAATGGACCAGAGGAATGCTGTGAATATAATTTAATTGGACTTCAGTAAAGCATTTGATAAAGTAGACCACAACCTACTACTTGATAAGATAGAAAAATATGGGTTAGACAGCATCACCACCAGATGGATTTGTAGCTGGCTGACCGGCCGTATTCATCGTGTGGTCCTCAATGGAACCGCATCTACATGGAGGGAAGTGTGTAGTGGGGTGCCCCAGGGCTCTGTTCTGGGCCCAGTGCTCTTCAACATCTTCATCAATGATTTGGATGAGGGGATAGATGGGGAACTCATCAAATTTGCAGATGATACCAAACTGGCAACACTCCATAAGATAAGCTTAAGGTACAGAAGGATCTTGACAGACTTGAACATTGGGCACTATCTAACAAAATGAAATTCAATGGTGAAAAAAGCAAGGTTCTACATTTAGGCAAGAAAAACTAAATGCACAGGTATAGTATAGGTGGTACCTTGCTCAATAATAGTAACTGTGAGAGGGATCTTGGAGTCCTAGTGGACAATCACTTAAATTTGAGCCAGTAGTGAGCTGCAGCTGCCAAAAAAGCCAACACAGTGCTGGGCTGCATTAACAGAGGGATAGAATCAAGATCATGTGAAGTGTTAATACCACTTTACAATGCCTTGGTAAGGCCACATTTGGAATATTGCATCCAGTTTTGGTCACCACGATGTAAAAAAGATGCTGAGATTCTAGAAAGAGTACAGAGAAGAGCAACAAAGATGATTAGGGGCAGGGCTTTTTTTCAGCCGGAACGCGGCGGAACCGCGTTCCGGCACCTTTTTCCGGGCCGGCCGCACCGGCCGCAACATCTGGGGGGGCGCGCTCGCACTCGCAGCTCTCTGCCCCTGCCTGGCTCACAACCGCGGCCATAGGGAGGCTCGGTCGGCGCGCCCCTGGCCCGTTTCCTAGGCGACCCTGCCCGAGCAAGANGTTCGGGCGCCAATCAGCAGGCGGACTGGAGCAGAGGAGGGCGGGGTTTCCCACCAAGCGCGGGAAATAGGGTTTGATGAGGGCGTGGCCAGGTTTGGGTGGGGGCGTGGCCAGGGGAGGGAGGTGAGTTCCACCACCTTTTCTCTGAGAAAAAAAGCCCTGATTAGGGGACTGGAGGCTAAAACATATAAGGAACGTTTGCTGGAATTGGGTATGTCTAGTTTAATGAAGAGAAGGACGAGGGGGGACACGATAGCAGTGTTCCAATATCTCAGAGGTTGCCACAAAGAAGAAAGAGTCAAGCTATTCTCCAAAGCACCTGAAGATAGGACAAGAAGCAATGGATGGAAACTAACCAAAGAGAGAAGCAACCTAGAAGTAAGGATAAATTTCCTGACTATTAGAACAATTAACCAGTGGAACGACTTGTCTCCAGAAGCTGTGAATGCTCCAACACTGGAAGTTTTTAAGAAGAGACTGGACAGCCATGTGTCTGAAATGGTATAGGGTTTCCTGCCTGAGCAGGGGTTAAACTAGATGACCTCCAAGATCCCTTCCAACATCATCATCATTATTGTTGTTGTTGTTTCTTGTTTCCTGAGAGAAATACTCTGTTTAATGTTGAGAATGACTTTTTGGTTGAGAACCCTGGGTACTTTTTCATATTTTTGCAAACAGAACAAATAACTCCAATGATCTAGCTTTGTGGTTTCTTAATTTTGGTTTTGTAAGTTATATGGACCTAACCATTGTTTTATAAACTATATAACATAGTTTAGGATATTGTATGAATCACATCAATTATGGTTTTCTTGTGGAATATAGGCTGTTAGTAGGTTTTCAGGGAGCAAAAGATCTCTCATTTATTAAGCCTTAGAAAATGGAAATGGTCATCAAGGAGCATTGCTTTTTTGTAGAATGTGCTCCACTGAAGCAGCTTCGCCTCAGCTATGTAAGACTTGCTCTCTTGGCCTATGGCCTTGTGCGATTCACAAAGCCAGGACAGCTTTATGCATTTTGTTTACACAGATTTGTGTAGCTGAGGAGTTCCTGAAAAGAGGTAAAAGTGCAAATTCTCTGTAAAGAAACAGTACTAAGCTATAATATGGGAAGAGGAAGAAAAGAGAAGCAGTGCTTCAATTTAGTGTTCAAGGAGAATTTCAATCACATTTGATTATACTGTGTTTGAATGTAAATATTTTAAAACTCTTTGTACAAGAGAAGAAAATATTGTTTCTCCAAGTTAAGCTTCATTCAAACAAGGTTGCTTGTCAAATTACTGTCAAAAAATACAGCAAGTGATACTCTGCTCAGCAGCTCCCCACTTGAATTCTTGTCTTTTCCCCATCAACAGATGGATGAAATAGATGCACTTAAAGTAAGATGGTGAGGAGATTAAATGTTTTCACAGCTTGTTCAATAAACCATGATTAAGAAAACTATAATTTAGCACAACACGTGGACTCCAGTTTTTAAAAAGCTGTCTGAACAATCAACACATGATGCCAAAGTTCATACAGTAATTATAATTAAGTGCTTATATGTTCAATTATAGTAACGTGAAACCACCCCATTAGATTAACACCTGAGGTCTAAAACAGCTTTAAATAAATTTAATTAAATCTTTAAAATTTTGCAATTGCAAACAGTGTGAATCCTATTCTGAAAAGATAAACCACAGTGGTTAAAATATTTTTCATCAATTACTCAATTTCAACCAACTGCACCCATTAATTAACTACCTGGTTTAATATGCATACTGCAAGGTTCCTTTTTTAAATGGACTTAATGGTCAGCCAGGACCCCTTCTCACGCTTACAATTGTATAAAAATGTTTT